CAGTTCTACACGGCCATCATCGAGTCCATCCTCACCTCCTCCGTCACCGTGTGGTTCGCTGGAGCCACAGTCAGGGACAAACAGAGACTACAGCGCATTGTGTGCTCTGCAGAGGAAGTGACCGGCCGCAGCCTTCCATCTCTGCAGGACCTGTACGTCGCCCGAGCTCGAGGCCGGGCTGGTCGTATCACAGCCGACCCCTCTCACCCTGCACATGGACTATTCCAACCACTCCCCTCAGGCAGGAGGCTGCGGTCCATCAGGACTAGAACCTCCCGCCACAAGAACAGTTTCTTCCCCTCTGCTGTTGGACTCTTGAACACTTCTTAACCTGTCGCCCCCCCTTTATAAAGTAAGTAAGTAAGTAAGTAAGTAAGTAAGTTTTTATTTATATACCGCCTTTTCACTGCAGATCTGAGTCTCAAAGCGGTTTACAATTGTTAATTATGGGCATTTGTCTCTCACTCCACACAGAGATGGGAGCGGGGTCGCCAGTACAGGAGGCGCATGCCAGAACTATTGGACATATTTTTAGTGGTAGGGGAAACCGGAGTACCCGGAGGAAACCTACGCAGACACGGGGAGAACATGCAAACTCCACTCAGAAAGGCCCTGGCCCGACCGGGATTTGAACCCAGGACCTTCTTGCTGAGAGGCGAGAGTGCTATCCACTCAGCCACCGTGCCGCCCAAAAGTAAAGTCACTTTACTGCCCATCATACGTCACTTTACTTCACTGTACTGCTGTCACCTTACATTGTGTGCACCATGTGCACTTGTATATTGTAAATAGTAACTGTAACTCTATTTTAAATTTAAATTTATTCTTTAGAAGTGTTTTTTTATTCTTATTTTTATTATCTCTTTTTGACTGTTGCACTGAGCCAAAGCAATTTCCTAGTCTGTGACCTCCTGTTACTTACGTGGCAATAAAAATGATTCTGATTCTGATCTATATGGTTTAATTTATTGCTTTATGTTGTAAAATTTGAAAAAGGTCATATTTAGATCCCATCTCTGTGTGGAGTGAGAGGACAAAAGCCCAAAAAATATCAAATGTAAACCGCTTTGTGACTCTGGTCTGTGAAAGGCGGTATATAAATAAAGATTACTTACTTACTTACTTTTCAATGTTTATCCATATATTTTCAACTTAAATAACACACATAAAATACATTCTAAAACATGAACTGCCAAAGCAAAGTTTGTTTTGTTGAACATCAAATAAACAATTTCAGATCATTGCAAGAGAAATAACCACTTTATAGCTTGGCTCATTGGATCTGAAAACAATAATTACGAACATTGGATCAAAGAGGCCAAATCAGTTCAATTGAATTTATTTTTGCAAATCCCTAAATCACAACAGCTGTTATCTTGGGGAACTTTTTTAAGTTGTCGTTCTGCCAACACAGATCAGAAAATTAAACTGTTCAAACACAGGAAATACAATGAGTCCTTGGTCCATCAATGTCCATAAATGTTAATAAATATTAAACGTCCAGGATCATCCCCAATGTCCTTAGACCCTGGAGAAATCAGAAAGCGGGGCAGCAACAGCATCAACCGGGATGAGGGAGCCTTCTTCCTGTCGTGCACATGGAACACCTTTCTCCAGAGACCACCGGGCCAGAGGTGGCGTGGTCCTGTCATGTCAATCAGGCTGACCACGCCTACTCAGCTGATAAAAGACAGTCACCAAGGCAAAATGTGTAAATAAGGTACATACATCTGACTTGTCTTTAGGCGACAGTAGCTCAGTTGGTAGAGCATTGGTCTTTAAGCCAGAGGGTTGTGGGTTCAAGCCCGATCTTCACCAACGACTTCTGCTGTCGTTGTGTCCTTGGCAAGACACTTAACGTCTTGGAACACCAGCCACTGTGGGGCGGCTGCGGCTGTAAAGTGCCAAACTACCGTTGTGTCCTTAGGCAAGACATTTTACCCCCATTGCCTAGAATGAGTCTGGTGTGTGTGTGAATGGTTGGTGGTGGTCGGAGGGGCCGATGGCACACACTGGTTGCCTTGCCTCTTTCAGTGTGCCCCAGGGCAGCTGTGGCTACAGTAGTAGTTTATCACCACCGTGTATGGAGTGAATGAACATTGACATGTAAAGCGTCTTTGAGTGTCCAAAAAAGTGCTATATAAAACTGATGCATTATTATTATTTTTAAAAGAACTACAACACCAATGGTATGAGGCATCTATAATGAATGGATGATGAATTTGTGGTCATTTTTCAAGTTGTTTTTCTCCAACAAGACAAGAAACACCTAAAGAGTTTTTGTGAAAGCATGTCTCAATAGAACAATAGTGTCCCCATGGAGACAAGATGGAAACTCCTGTATGATTGAATTTGAGGCAGAGTACTATGTCTACAACAGTGTTAAAGCAAAACACTGTTCAATGGAAAAAGATGTTGTTAATGATGTGTGTCCTCAGTGTGCGAACACATGCCACACCTGATATTACTCTGGTCTCTTTTTGAATCTTTCCAAGGAATTTGGCCCGTTTTGATCCATTCTATTACATTATGGCATAAAATTCAACTCTCTCCTCGTTCTTGCTGTTCTGTAACTGGTGATGCATCACTGGAATTTCCCCACTGTGGGGCAAATAACATATATTTTAATCTTAATTCCTTCTAGTATCAGCACATTACCTGACAACTTTTTTCTTCTGACCTTTAAACTGGTTAGCCATGCTTCTATGGAAATCAATTAATTGTGATGAGCAAGGCTTGTAAATTCAGACCATTTGGCTTATGTTCCACATTTTGGTTTATTGTCATGTTCTTGGCCACGTTCTCGGCCACAATAGCATAATATTTCAGTGTTTCAAAGGAATTGGGTGAAAACGTCTAGAATATACCGATCGTCAATTAATCAACAAAAATGCATTTTTATTTTTTAGCTTAAAAAAGTAAATGTTAATAACCTTTTGAATTGTGAAAAGAGAATTTGTTTCCAAGCAAGCACCGGTCAGACTCCCCTATTCTCACCCTCACTGCTTCCTGATTGGACGGAATAATTTGAAATTCTTGATGCACATACGAGGTCCCTTGCCATTGGTCCAACTATTAACCTCCTCTAGAGTGGATTTGAGTTGAAGACAAGGCAAGTTTATTGTTATAGCACACAAACACAAGTGAACTCAAAGTGCTTAAAGAAACAAGAACACATACACAATACAACATCTATTCTTCTACTACCTCAGACTATTACTTTTCGCCAGATCAAAATGTTTGTAAATATTTTTTTTTTTTTAACTGTGTACAAATCCAACGGGCGATGTGCCACCTCCAGAAAGTTCCCGTAACTTATGAATGCAATTAAACATATCCTGCGGCAGTTTTTGTACACAACGAACAAAAATGAAACTTTTGCCACAATAGGGAGTGTTTGCTTTTTCGTTATTGGCCCAGGTTTTGTCTCGCAGGCAGCAGCAGCAGCAGCAGCTAAACCGTAGCCTGATCAATGGTCTGTATACAGGCTGGAAATGCGGTTTGTTTCCGGGCATAGAGTCACCGCTCGAATATGGATCAACTCTACCAACTTTTCACACCGACCAGAGACAAATAGCACACCGTCCCCATCTGCGCATTACATCTGAATACTTGTTCCCATTGATTTCAATAAGAAGGGCTTTTGTGCTTCTTCTATCTGAGGATGACTGGATCCGGTGGAATTTGGGAGCAGACATCTTGTATTGATGCGAGCACCTTTTCTATTGTTGCGGTCGAACCAGACAGACATTGATTGTGAATTCTCGCTGTAGACGGCTGTGGGTCGATATAGTTCTGTGTCGCCCAGATCTTCTGCCAACTACAAAACTACAACAGTAAGATAATGTTTTTTTTTTCTGAACGGCCGGTGTGCTTTGGGCTTTGATTTGGCCCTGGACTGTGTGTTTTTTAATCACGTATTTTTCCTCTAGTGAGATGAAGGGAGCTTGTTTTTAATACCATTGTTTCTAAAATACATGATTTATTTTTGTTTTACATGTTCCTTTTGACAGTCATTCCTTGAAAAAAAAATAAGCAATGTATTTTTTGTTTGTTGTATTTTCTAATAGTAGAAGCACAAATAACATTATTACTTCACAAATAATATCTTCATTTTAATTGTTTTTATTTCAGGCCTTCACCAAATGGTTGAGATGCAGTTTGATGGTAAAAGTGCCTAAAGCCAAGTGAGATGCCCCAAAGAGGTAGATTTCAGTTCCAAGCTTAGATGTGTTGACTGAAAATGTAATCTACCAAATTAAACCAGGAACACTTTGGTTACTACCATGTCGAGTTGTTTTCCGATTTGTGGTTCTTCAGCCTTACACCGTTACAAAGATTGCAGCAATGACACAGGTAGCATTGGCAGGAGGCATAGTTTGTTCAGCGTGATGTCTTATTTTTGTGTTGGGTTAAAAGAATAACGTTGTTTGACATGTTCAGTCTCTCCATGGGCTGGTACCAAAGTACATCTGTGACATTTTAGTGCCTTATAAGATAAAAGAACCTTTATCCCTGCCAGAGTAGGGCATTTTATGTTGCAGCTTGCATACAGGCAGTCGTACATACACACATAAGATAAATAAAGTAGAATATTAAGTGGCATTCAGTGGACATTCTGAAATTGCAGACTAGTATAGTATTGTACAGTCTGACAGCAGCAGGGAGGAATGGATGTTCAAAACCAGATTAAAAGCTGTGCATAGAATATATATTTTCTGTAGCAAAAAGTATCCTTTTATTTAAGAAAAAACACTGGAGAACGAAAATGATTATAATCAAGTCCAAAGTAGCTCCAGGAAAACTCGTCCTCCACCTGAGGAAACACAAAAACATAATTAAAACAAGTTCAAGACAATGGGTTCTCAGAATCTCTGCAAATGTTTCTGCTGCAGTCAAGGGACAAACCGACAGTGGCTGAGTGGAGCTGCAGTGTTTGGATAGGTTTGATTAGTCTGACAGGAAACAGGTCTGCTCCCCTCACAGCAGGCTCCAGCTCACTACAGACTGGGGAGGGGAGGGGAGGAGGAGACACAAGGGAAGGGAGGGGAGGAGGAGACACAAGGGGAAGGGAGGAGGAGACACAAGGGAAGGGAGGGGAGGAGGAGACACAAGGGGAAGGGAGGAGGAGACACAAGGGGAAGGGAGGAGGAGACACAAGGGGAAGGGAGGAGGAGACACAAGGGGAAGGGAGGAGGAGACACAAGGGGAAGGGAGGGGAAGACACAAGGGGAGGGGAGGAGGAGACACAAGGGGAGAGGAGGAGACACAAGGGGAGGGGAGGAGGAGACACAAGGGGAAGGGAGGGGGAGACACAAGGGGAGGGGAAGGGAGTAGGAGACACAAGGGGAGGGGAGGAGACACGAGGGGAAGGGAGGGGGAGACACAAGGGGAGGGGAGGGGAAGGGAGTAGGAGACACAAGGGGAGGGGAGGAGACACGAGGGGAAGGGAGGGGGAGACACAAGGGGAGGGGAGGGGAGGGGAGGAGGAGACACAAGGGGAGGGGAGGGGAGGGGAGGAGGAGACACAAGAAGAGGAAGAACTGACTTACAGAATTATCTTGTTGTTATGAATTTACGATTGCGTAAAATAAACAATGTAGCTTTTGAAATGAGGTATAACGGCATGGCAGCATATCGAATGAGAAGAGGTTTAGCTGCGAGCCAGTACTTCGATCAATCTCTGTTACGTGCCAGGTCCGTAGTGTCCAGTAGAGGGTGCTGTTTCCTTGCCTCACCTGCACTATGCCACGCCCCACATCACTGGAGCTGTCCCACCCATGTGCCCATTGAAACCACACTACAGATAATGACATGCTTGCATGGGTGGCAGAGTGGTTAGCGCTTAGTTTTACGGTTTCCCCTACCACCACTAACGTACGATAGGTGAGGGTTGAATGAGTGTGTCTTTGTAAGTGTGACCGTGGGACTACAAATGGAAATTAGCTACAAAGCTACACACATCTGGTGAAATTACAGCTCTTGTTGTCCATAAATACACACTGTTCCATCCAAAAAAATAAAATTACACCTTCCATGTTGTTAAATATTGTGTACTTGTTTATTGAATATACATTTTGCACTTTTCACCCCCGTTTGCCTCCCCTATTTGTTATGGCCCTGAGCCAGCCGTAACAATCTCTATAAAGGATCCCAGTGGTTTAATGTCGGTGCTAGCAGTAGCATGTGACCTGGCAGTTGGCGGTTGACTGTAATTGCTATGGGAGCGTATCACAGCGTTCATGTTGTTCAGCTGCAACATGAGATCTCAAATTGTGCATGTATCTTTGACCCAAATAAAACCCTCCTCAGATTGCCCACACTATTGGAAGACACTGCCGATCTCCTCACAATAACCTTCACTCTCCAAGTCCTAGCCGCCTTAATTGAATCTTTAATACCTCTACCCACAAGTCCACTTCCTCCTTCCCTCGCTTACATTTACAAGGCATTAAGATTCAGCGGAGATGGGCGCACCCCCTTTGAGACGGGCAGAAAACACATTGTCAGGAAGCAATTGTGTGTAAATGAATGGCAGGGTCAGCAGCGGCACAGTGAAATGTTAATGAGGGACAGTACATGGGCTCTGAATGCCTGAAAAGAGGAGGCTGAATGTGACATGCACAGTTATTGAGGCGTGCTCTCCCTGCAAATAAACAATAGAGTACATGGGCTGCTGCGGTTGCACTGAGAGGGATTGTGGTCGGGAAGAATGGTCTGAAGTGGTCGGACTGTGTTGAGGTCGTTACGAAAGCAAATCTGCTTTTAAAACAAAAGTCAGATGTCCTTTTATCCCAAAGGAGCGGCTTTATCCTAATACAAAGACATGTTATGGCTTGTAGAAAATGTGTTGTTTTGTTATGTTTACAAATGTTGGAGACAAAAATATTCAGTAAACCAAAGTGTAATAGCATAGCATCTCCAGAAGCTAAGTGTGAGTGTGGGGGCTGGAACTCTTTAAAAACAAAAGGAACAGGACAAATAAACAAAACTGCGCAAAAGGTCAACATCTTAAATTTCTCCCACAGGTGGGAAATATTGGTGTTGCATCGCGCACACGACAGACAGTGGGAATGAATAGATCACAAAAGCAAGCTTTAAACTAATTAAAATCTTTAGTTTAACTCATTGACTGCCATTGAAAATCAGTGAAATAATCAAAAACGGCTGGCAGTCAAGGAGTTACAGTAAAAATCAATTAAACGTCCAGAGACGTTTTTCAAAAGCCAGTAGAAGTTAGACCCGCCCCTACAGGTTCCTGATTGGATGCACATCCTTGATATATTATTGGAGATGGTTATGACAAGGGGGAAACAACTGTTTAAAATACATCTATCATAAAATATGATTGATACCACAGGGTCATACTGCAGGGCGGTACGTTTTAAGGCAAATATTTTACACTTTAGTAAACAGTGTGAACAATGACCTTCACACAATGGACAAACGCAAACATAACATGAAGGCGTCATGGCCACTTCTTTTCTCCCTGTTGTTTGGATTTGAACACCTGTGAGTTGCCGTCTTTACTGTGACACAGATTGTCCTACTGTATAATGCTTTCTCAGTTTTCAGTCTGTCTGAAAAAACTCTGAACAAACTCTGAAGGAACTTTGTAAGAACTCTGAAACTGGAATAAAGCCCCGTGGGCATGTGTGCTCCTGCACCTGACTCAGTCTGTCATTTTTCAACAACATTATTATTTGTTAACTCTTAGGATGATGTATTTTTTTGTGTTTTTATGGATGGATGTGTTTCTGCTGCTGGGCACGTGCATTTCTTCAACAGGGATTAATACAAAATATATCTATGTGGTTATAAAACGTTTATTTGTTTATTTTTTCAAATAAAATGTTGAAGTTCCATCACTTCCTTTTTGACCTGGACCAGAAGTGTGGACCACAGTGTGTTTATATTGCAAATATTAACAGAAAAAAGGACATCAAATTGAGCTGACATTGCACATTTGCCATAAACAGAGCTATAACTGTGCTATATTACTGCTTTGCTTTAAAGTCAATGCAAAGCGAATGTGAACAAACAAACACTAGTCTATACATGTAGTTCTTTTATCGTAGATGCAGTAGTCTGCTTCTAAGATAAAAAGGGTAGAACTAGAGTCAAAGATCAGTTTTATATCTGTTCTTTTCTTTGCTTTAATGACACATGCAAGGAAGTGTCTGTAGAGCTGCCTCATGTAAACAGTGTTTTATGTGGGGAAAATAGCAAACAAAGAAGTCATAAGAAAAGGAACAATATAAACATATGTTAAACAGCAGTGTATATGGATGGCAGACCGCACCCACAGCTCTTCAATTTCCAATATTGTAAACATTTAGACATATAAAAAGTACAATCACATTAGTTCAGTTCTCAGGTCTCTGCACTGGCTTCCTGTCTTTAAAGCACTGCTGCTTTAACTGACTTTAAAGCAGCTCTGCTTGTTACAAGTCTCTCCACCAAAGTACATCTGTGACATGTGAACCAACTCGGACAATAAGGAGCACAGGGACTGGCCTCCTGCTGCAGCCCAGAGTCAGGACTAAACATGCGGTGGCAGCCTTCCAGATTTATGCATCTAAAATCTGGAACAGTCTTCCTGAAAATCAACATTGCTTCTACTTTACTCTCCTCTAAATATAGGCCAAAAGCTGCGCAGCTGTGCAACTGTGCAACTGTAGAACTGTATCTTTTAATGTGTCACTTGAATGTACTGTGATCATGCCTAGTGTGATTTTAGTGTTTTTCTTCTTGTTTATTGTCTATTGTCTATTGTTAAGCACTTTGAGTGCACAAACTGCTATACAAATAAACCTACTTTGCTTTTATTACCTGTCAAGTTGACTTCTCACAGCCAAAAGAATGCACAAATGTGGCATATTTATAGATCCACGTTTTGGGCCCATTTTGTATCATACAGTGGAGCGTATAAATATTTGGGAGTTTGCGATGGGGCAAGTTGCAAAAAAATGAGAGTGGTCCTTAATGTTCATCATTTGTTCACGCCAACTCCTATTGAATACCAAAAAACTGTAAATCACATCTTTCTACCATTTAATTTAGTTAGATTATTTTCAAACAAAAATATATGCCACAATTATATTTTACTCATAACAATATCCTTGTTAGTATTTTCTGTACACGATTCAAACTACAATAACAGCAATGGTTGCATTCTGTCTGTACCCAAGCTTTTGTATTTACCGTAAATATATGCTTCCTCTCGTGGTTTTTGCCATACGGACACAATATGAGTCTACTAGATCTTCAAGCACACATCTCTGGCAACTGTTTGAAGTCCACGCTGATGCATTTTGATTTTGAATTATGCAGAGCGGAATTGCTAACGAAGTGGATGGTTCGTGGGATTAAATGCATGACATAGACGAAAAGTGCAATTAAAACTGTGCCATACACATTTCCGTCTTGATTAACCAACTCGCCCAATTTGTCATTCCATTAGTTTTATTAGCTGCATAATTTTAAGTTACTCTGGTCCAGACAGTGATTCATTCCTGATTATAAGGCAAAGTGTGTTTGCCTTGTAATCTAAAATAGAGATTAGCGTGCACAGGACCTTATGTTATCATGTTCATTGTGAGAATAGTCGAAGTGTGCAAACCCATCAGACTTTGCTCAAAAATTCATATTTTCTACTTTTTTCATCCCCTTGAGATACCATTGTGTTTAACAATTGTGATGAATTGGCCATGGACATCTGGAACAGTCTCCCTCTGCACTTACGGGAGAGTCACTGGTCACCTTTAAAACTCAAATCAAACAATGGCTGAAAAGAAACCAGTCATGTGACCACTAGACTCTTAACCTTTGTAATGTGTTATTTTGTATTTTGTTGTATTGTATGTTGTTATTTCTTATGTATTTTGCTGCCGAGGGACTACGGATGAAAACTAGTTTGGTAGCTATAATCCGGCATATTTACATTCTGTTTTGTACTGATGTTCATGAATGTGCATTGTCCCTATCAAATACATAAATGCATAAATAAAATAATGCAACTTCATGTTAGTTCATGTGCATGCTTTTCAACTCGAAAAAGGATGCATGAGAGAGGACTCAGAATGTAAAATAAGTGAAGCTTTGTGTTTTTAGTTTGTGTAAAGAGTTATTTGATTGTTAAGAGAAAAAAAGTGGTTCTTCAGTCAAGACATATTATTTAAAGAAGCAGCTTTTCTCACCAAAAACCACAAATGGACAATATTAAACCATGATGAAAAACAAATAATAACAAATCTACCTGTATAAGGTTTTAATCAATGAGAAGTGAAAAATGTGATCTTTAATAAATTGTGTCTATAATCAAATAAAATATAGTTATTCACTGCTTCCCCACAGATTTTGGGGATTGAAGCCTGTAGGGTTCTGTATGTTTGTGTTTTACATCCAGCGTTGCCTAATTACAAACAGCTAATTAACATGTTGAAACTTTGTGAGTTTGATCTCTGCTCCAAAACACAAACAGCGGGGAATATCATCCCAAAGTCCATCTACTTTTGTAATTCAACTTGCAACCACACACAACATGAGCTAGATTATGAATGTATTCGATATATTGTTGAGAATTGGCTCACAGCTCGTAAATAAACAGTCATCGGGTGCCGAAGTGGAGAGGCTGCAGCTGTAAAGTTCCAAACTGTTGTTGTATCCTTAGGCAAGACGCTTCTCCCACATTGGTCAGAGGGGCCGATGGCACATACCGGTTGCTTCGCTTCTGTCAGTGTGCACCAGGGCAGCTGTGGCTACAGTAGTTTATCACCACCGTGTATGGAGTGAAATAATAATGACATGAGAGCTTTGTGTGTAATGGGTCTACGTTATATTTTGGTTTCACATTATAAGTTTAATTACAGAAATAAATGAACTTTTGAATCCCTTGTGCTTTCCTAAAAATATGCAAGAAAGGTGTGCAATCAATAGACTTAACATTAACAATTTTCTTTTTCAACTTTCACCGACCATACTCAACTTGACTCAGCTTTGTTTTACCCCTTGACACTAAATAGATGGACAATGATAACGCTCGTTAAATTGGCTTCTTTCGCATTTGTTAAACGCTAACGGTGACGTCAGCACTGGTCAGTCGTCAGTCCACCCCTGATACTCGCTCCATGATGCTACCCCATATGGAGCACTGCCAGTGGCCCTGTTTAACCGACCTCTAATTTGGTCAACCAAAAAGATCCTTCTGTGATTGGTCAGAGCGGCTGGGAGCATAGGCGTCAT